CCTTGGTCGATCGGAGTTGAGTCTAATTTCCATTTCTTTCAGTGTAATTTCTTTTTCGGCTTCAATGCGAGCTTGCTCGGCCTCGAGACGTTTATTCTATTCGAGCTTGTTCTTTCTCGGCTTCGAAACGAACTTGTTCTTTCTCATCTTCGATACGAGCTTGTTCGGCCTTGAAGTGTTTATTTTCTCTTTCAGCTTTGATACGAGCTTCTTCAAGCTCGATTTGTTTGAGTTTTAGCTAGTACTCTAATATAGCTTTATCACTCAACCTCGATTGGCTAGTAGGGAATCTAGAGTATTCCTCTAATGCTTCCTCAGGTAACAAATCATCATATACTAGTATTTCGGTAATACGATTTTTTAGTTCATTTTTTCTCATTGATCTTTTAACTTCTAGTTCTAAAACTTTGTCAATTTCGAGCAATTCATTTTTGTTATATCTTTCTAGTTGTTTGAGGGAGGGTGATTCAAGAAAATCTTGATAATCAGACATGATCATATCTTGTTGGCACTGATAGATATGAATTGAATTCTGATCTAAATTTTAATCTAGATTGAATTTTGTCTCTGATTCAGATCTCGGACACGAGCACCCAATTTATTATGTTAAATATTACAATTTCAAATTGTTAAATTAAATTTAGATTAAGTGGTTAAATAAGTTTTTTTTAAGTTAAGCACAAAGCTGCATAATGGGCTATCTGTGCTCTGCTCACCACGGGTATCGAAACTCGGTTTCTAGTGTTGTAAGTCCGCAGACATACCACTGTGCCACTGGGGCGCTAGTAGTTAAATAAATGTCGATATATATCCAACTTATGATATTTGCCAACAATATTGATACACACAGTTTTTTATACAAATATATTTTAATATGCAAACAATAATACAGTTTAAAATAACAGTTGTTACAAACAGTTATTACAAACAATTATTTATATACAAAGTTTTACAAACTTACAAGCAATATAAAGTCTTCTTTGTAGTCTGGAACTTCCTTGCTATATTATCGAGGGTTCACGATGAGCGAGTTAATTACAAATTAATGTAGGTACAATTCACTTAATGGGAAGCTAACTAGCTTTGTCCTTCGTTATTTACCAGCCACACACGCCGAGATTTCAACCGTGAAGTTATGTAATGTTTTCTTAAAAATACTAATGTCCGATAAGAATCCACTGAAGTTAAACGATTTGTGATGTTCGAACTTTGTAAATGCTCCTGGTCAAATATCTGAAGTTTCCGATTACTAAGCGTTATTACAATCACAGTTGTAGTTTCCGAAGTTTATAGCACACTGACTATAGCAAACTAATAATATATACTCTTTTTTTGGCGCGTCGCGTTGGTTATATTTATAGGCGTGTGGAGAATTTCTCGAAAATTCAGATTACGTAGCAATACAAAGCTACATTAAACGTTTACGTAGATGCATATATTGTTGATTCTTACTTTCGAGAATCTTCTACAACTTTAGAGAACAGGCGGAAGTTTCGTAATACATATTTAACAGTATAAGCTATGTATGTTTCTAAATATAAATTTAATCTAAACAAGTGTCGATATTAAAATAAATATATAATAACAAATCCGCCACAATCAGTAATAATTTATGAAGTTTATCAAGTTAATAGAAATGTTCGTTTGTGTTTTGCCCAATGTCACCCACAACTCCCAAAGATACTGTATCTTTTATCGTACCTTACCTGGAGCATCAACATGTTTCATAACCAACATAAGAAGGTCTTACCTGTTGATTAAAATGAAGGTAATTTTTAAACCGACTTTGAGGTTGAATTATCGTTTTCATATGAAGAACTATTTAGCTAACTCTCTGCGTTCAAAAGTGATTTTGAAATTTTGGTGACTGTGAGGCCACTTATATTGAAAAAAAAACAAAAACTAAGCGCCATGCGGGAATCTAGAAAATGTTCATTAAGATCGGCAATAATTTGCTTTCAAGTCTCTACTACAACAATCGAAAGAGAACACTGTATAGCAGGCCATTCACCCGTATTTCACAATTCTACGTAATGACAAATTCGACTTCGATCGGCTAATAAACTAAAATGTATGGATAAAATGTCACTGCTTGTTTTTAAATCTTTCACAATCGTCATTTACCCTGAGACTTTATTGATTTTTCTTTTTTTTTTGTCCAGTCTATTGTTTTTTTCACTTGATATCAACAACAATTGTATCATAATATCATGACTTCCCCAGTAATTTGTGTATATTTCTTCTCCCCTAATTCCAATTATTATGCTTTTGTCAACACTATCACAATAGTAACACTGAAATTCTCGTTTTGTGCCATTAGAACACAGATTCATATATTGTTATATACTATGTAAACACTAATTTGTTTGTCTGTATATGCATGCTTATTCCGTTTGTATCGTCTTCATTAACAAATACGAATATTGTTATGACATATGTATTCTTGTCTGTCCGTCCGTATCGTCTTAATTCAAGACATTATTATTATTATAACACGTGTATACTCGTCTGTATTGACTTGCTTCATGACTGTTACAATAGCCATGCACGCGTGTTCTTGTTTGTCCATTTTTATTGTCTTGATTCACAGCTATTGTGATTTTTACAGCGTGTAAATTCTTGTCTATTCTACAAGAATTTGTATTCACAAATATCATTATCATTAGAGCTTCTGTGATCTTATCTGTCTGCCTCAATCGCCTTGATCCACAAATTATTACTATTTTTACAGCACGTGAATGCTTTTCTGTCTGTTTGTCGTTTTGATTCACATTATTGTTATTATCATTAAAGCATATGCATGCTTATTTGTCCGTCTGTATTGTTGTGATTCACAATAATTATTATTATTAGAGTATGCTTATCTCCGTTTTGCTTTGATACAACCCGTATTGTAATAAGTAGGAAACTGATCGCCTTCTAACTGATAAATTAAGTACAACACTGCTTGTCAGCTTGGCTAGATTTACAATTCAAACGTGAAAAACTGCTTAACATTTAGCCTTTCAACATTGTTATCAACAGCACGTGCTGGCGTTTTGTAACCCATAGGCTTACCATTGTTACGTTACCTACCTGTAGAGGTCTAAAACTCTTGTTATATCACTTATACATATCATATATATATACACACACACACACACATATATGTATATATATATATATATATACACACACACACACATATATATATATATATATATATATGTGTGTGTGTGTGTGTAATGACTGGAGCCACGTGCAGTTTGAGATAAAATTTGAAATCTTACAATTTCGATGCATGCAAAACAATAAAAACAAACTGCTTATTGTTTACAAACCTGTATGAGGTGTAGCAGTTTTCTCGTCGTTGCTTCCGAAGTTGCGACGAGATGTTTGGAAAGCAAAGCACGACGAAATGGAGACTAACCTAAACGTATGTAACTCGCAACCGTACAACAACGCTATGGCGCATCCTCTACATCATCCCTTTTCCAGCTGAATACCTGGTGCCACGCGCATCGTTCGTTCTTTATCGATTTGCTACAGGCTGTTCAACCAGGTTAAAAATATAGTCACAATCCGTACAACATGAAAAACATGTTGTTATTAATTGATGAATTCGTCTCTGAGGATAAGATTTGTCATTTGATATTCCTCATTTTTTGAAAAGTTTGCGCATTTTATTATAGAGCCTTTGTAACCCCCCTCTCTAAATTTCTTGATTTCGCTGTTTTCGTTTCGCACCCTTTAAAAAGGAGTGTGCGCGATTTTCCAAACCGTTTTATGTGAAAAATATATTTTCACCAGCGCACGCAATTTTTTAATTATTTTTTATCTTCAGTGTTTGTCTTCTCTGCTTACATGAAAACATGCTATAAGCAGTAGAGTTAACATATGGGATTACGTCGTTAAAAGACTTAAAGGACATTACCCACTTGAGTTATTGCTTTGTAAAATACATTAGCATCACAAAACACTGAAAAGAAAATGCACAAATATTCTTGGGTCACTTTTAATAAGTTTACTGTACAAAAATCTAATATTGGTACTGAACGTGTATTTCAGTAAAATATGTTTTAGGTGAATGCATTTTTTACCTTGATCGTTTTTATTCTATTTAAATTGAGCTTCAAGTATATCAGAATCTTATCAACTTAAACTAAGCTGATTAATTAAGACATAGGCTCAACCTCTCTTAATTGTTATAGACACCTTATTTTCTTTTTATTAAATATTTACATTCTTTACATCTATATAAATATAAATGTACATACTTCGCAGGGTGTGGATGGATCTTCACCAAAATTGGTATGGAGGTTCATTGGGTCTGTGGGGAGATAATATAAATTTTCAGTTTTACATTTTGCTTTTTTGCGGTTTTTATGGGCGTGTTTTGCGTTTTTTACCACTACCTCACCTCTTGTGGATGTATCTTCACCAAATTTCACATGAAAGTTTGTTGGGTCCATGCAGAGATACATGCATACTTGCAGTTTCACATTTTGTATTTTGCAATTTCTGTGGGCGTTTTTTACAATTAACTACGAGGGAAGCAACTTTTCATGTCCTAAGATAACCTTTCATTAATAATGAAATTACATAAGTTCCGTCCAGGGGACGTGTACTCCAGCTAGTTTGAAAATCAGATTAAATTGAGAGATGTATCACTTCACTGCACATAACCCATACATTAAAAGATGCAGAAAGTTCCCGAATTAAAATATTCTTGCTTTTTTTTGTGACTGTGGTTTTGTTTTAAAATGTTATCTTTGGACACCATACAAAGGAATACTTTGAAAATAATCCCCCTGACCCTCTCCCAGTTGGAAGCTTGAGAGCTTATAATGTTACGTTTGGTGTTCGATCCCTGCAGTGAACACAATCCAGATAGCAGATGCACTGTGAAACTTTGTGCTTACTGGTAGACAACAAACGCACTAAACAAAAGTCATTATCTTATATCGCCATCTGTCGACCATTCTGTAATCTCGTCTGTATGCCGTAACGTTATAAGATCATGTACGGTACAGTGATGGTACGATGCAAGTGAAAAAAGTGAAAATTGAGAAGATACGACAAGTGTGATATTACATTTTTTGTGCGTAAAATATGTTATTGATTGTTTTTAATTAATAGATAATTTCACAAACTTTGAAATATTTAGTTTTTATTCAACAAAACCTGATCCACAAATATTGAAAAGGAGAATTCGGGATATTAAATTGTCTTGCAATATAATCTGAAACTCTTGAAAATATTATCATCTACTGTGCAGAAATAGGTAATAGATGTATTATGATATGCAGAAGTAAATATACTTTGGTAGACATTTTATAGAACAACAGTTTAACCTTAACTACACTAAAGCTTAAAACGTACGCAAGTTACAGTGTTAATTTATCTCTTTATCTAATATAGGCAGTACTTAATAAAAATTTAACTAATGTTAAGCCTAAGACAAATGGACGTATATTTACCCATATATGTCCACACCATCAATCAATTCGTTGTAGCTCTAAAAATATTACTGGTTTGAAAGCTAGTTGCATTCATTGTGTCAAATGATATTTTAGTTGAAAATTGCCGGCTTTTCATCTTCTTTCATCTTACTTATTCTCTTTGCGTCTTCCTTCCCCCCCCCCCCAATAATACCGAGCTCCTAGATACCGACAGTGTGGGTTTTGTTAACCTAGAGATGAATAAGTTTCCATTACGTCATTCCACGTGTGCAAAAGGTTTGTTTTACATAGAACAAATAATTAAATTCTCACAAACACCCCAGAAAATAGGAAACAAAGTATAGATTCACTGCTTAAGCAAATATCAATGTTCGGATAACATTAAGCCCTTTAGATCTTATAAACTGATCCTATGAAGACCTCTTTCACTACTAGTCTTTATACCACTTGAAATGCTTTCAAAAAACAGCGCAGGAAAAGCAAGGTATAACGCCAATGCTTTTATTATTGGTAAAGCAAAAAGAGAGGGTTGAAACGGTAGTTTCTAGAATTTTGAATGAACCTATTCAATCTTGGAATTGTAACTCGGATTTGTTTTTATCTTACGAAATATTGGAATATAAAAATATATTTCGGAAACCTTTATTGAAGGTGAAAACATATAAATGCTTTCAAACATTATTGACATAGATAGTCTTGGTTTCCAAATGGAACTGAAACTGTGTTTGTTAAGTATTTATAACACACCCAAGGAATCTAATTCAGACACATCGAATTAGAAGTTGTATTATTTTTTTATATACTCAGCTTGTGGAGCCGAGAACATTCTAAAGGTGGTCCACAACGATAAAAATCGAATTTTAATATTAAAGTTTAAAACAACAAAAAGCGATAATGTGTTAGATTAAATTAAAATAATGCTGTATTTGAAACTTTTATTAATTATATGTTAGTGCCGCTTTTATACACTGTAGGACTAGCTTTTGTACATAACCTATTTGAGTATAACAGTCCGCGAGATTAACTGTCTTTGGTTCTTGGAAGAGTTCTGGAGGTAAAATGATTGAGAACCACTCTGGTCAATCATTATGTTTGGTTTATCTATTATGATAATGTTTAGTTTTTGTCCTGCTAATGCGAGAGTACTTTACTATCTAAATGTGCGTGCGTGCGCACTTCATTTTAACGGATGTAAACAAATGGCAGATGTAAATATACTTTGGTAGACATTTTGTAGAACAACAGCTTAACCCTAACTACACTAAAGCTTAAAACGTACAGAATTTACAATGTTAATTTATCTCTTTATCGAACATGTAATGTCACGCAACAGATTCGAACTTCTACTCAAACTTTTTCATTTTGCAAGCAATAAAGTAATTCAAAAGGATGGTCAGTTTGGAAAAATTCAACCACTTATGGATATAATACAGAAAAAATTCCAAGAAGTAATGATTCCGGGAGCAAATGGAGAGGACGAATAATGTTTAGGTAATACATTCCAGCTAGAGCCTACAAATATGAAATAAAGGTTTCCAAATTTTGTATATCAGAAGCCTATACATGGGTTTCCAAAATATATTCTGTAAAATACGAAACTTGAAAAGTAGAAGGTGGGCTTGCTCAAAAAATTTGTGAAGAATATCAAAACGATTATTGAACGGGGCACACCCTGTATATATATAGCTTTCAAACAAGCTATGAACTAGTTATAGCATTCCTAATGAAGAAGGCCTACGTAGTAAGAACAGTGAGAACATATAAAAAGAACCTTCCCAAAGAAGAACTAAGTGCACCACTGAAAAAAGAATAAATGGTTGCAAAAGAAGATCAGAATGGAATTGTAATACTATATATGTATGTAAAAGTGTTTACAACAAGTATGTATTTATTAATTATAGACCGAACATAAGGATATACTACAGCGGTTCTCAGTCTTCTTTTTCAATAATTCTTAATGTGTAGCTTTAAAATATTATGTTCTACGTCACTTATGTACTTCCAAGCTATAGAGTGAACTTTCATTCGTTCCACATCAATTTTCATCCGTTCCACATCAACACATGTATATTTTGTTAAAGCATGACCACTTTTACATAAATATATAGGGGAGAGTGAACCTTCATTCGTTCCAAATCAACACTTTTACATACATATATAGAAGAGAGAGTATATAGGGGAGAATGAACCTTCATCCGTTCCACATTAACACTTTTACATAAATATATAGGGAGAATGAACCTTCATCCGTTCCACATTAACTGTATGTAAAAGTGTTGATGTGGAATGGATGAAGGTTCATTCTCCTCTGTATATTTATGTAAAGGGGGTATAAACAGAACACAAGAAGATAAGTAGTATGTGTTGTTTTATTTGCACAAAGCTACACAATGGGCTACCTGCGATTTGCCAGGACTTAGCATTGTAAGTCTGGAAACTTACCGTTTACTCGCCGGGGACAAGTAGTATAGGAATATATATATGTGTGTGTGCATGAGTGTTTTGTTTGTTTGTTTGTTTGTTTATCTCAACGTAAATGTTTCGACAATGGTTCTCATGGTTTTAGCCTGTTTGATACAAACAGAACTACTATATTAATATGTATGTAGCCAAAACAGAAACAATTCCTATCCAACCAAAACAGCTCCTAAGAAACAAAAACAAACGATCATAGTAGGCTAATGGCAGCCGACAAAATCCAAAGAAGCGTTTTATCTTTACTGGACAGTGATTTGGAGTGAAACAGGTGTTATTCCTAATTAGCTTGTTTTGTTGAATTTCGCGCAAAGCTACTCGATAGTCATCTGCGCTAGCCGTCCCTATCTTTGAAGTTATAAACAAGAGAGAAGGCCGCTAGACAACACCACTAACAGTCAACTCTTGGTCTACTCTTTACTAAAGAATAGTAGGATTGACCGACACATTAGAATGCCTTCAATGCTGAAAGGGCGAACATGTTTCAATCCCAAAATCCCCAGATTCCGAGTTGAGCGCCCTAACAACCAGGCCATATC